GGACTAGTGCTGAGCAGCAGAGCCAGAGCTGGCAGCCTGTCTAGAGTGTGCTGGAAAAGCATCCTCAGGGCTGCTCTGATTCGGCAACAGCTTCTTTTCCGTCTTCTGGGAGAGGCTGTGTGCGGCCTCGCATACATAAAGGAGATTTAGGTTTTGTCACCTTCATATTCAGACTACTTATTCTATACTATTAACGCACTTAGAATTGATAGCTTGGTCTAATTGCTCCCTGTTCTTCTGTAATATATACGCACGCTTGGAACTTTGTCAGTGCTGAATCTCTTAGCATGTCTGCCTCCAGCTGCCTGCTCTTCAAGCCCTTTACCCCCAGATATCAAATGAATTTCTGCACTTGTGACTAATGTGTAAAGTGGAGAAGGTTCCAGTAGTAGTTAGAGAAGTAATTAAATCCCTGGATAGGATGTAATTTTCTTGAACAATTGCCAGGAAGTCACCTTCTGCTTTGAAACTAATGCTCTCTGTTGTGTGCAGTCTGCAGCCGCCTTCACTAGGGAAGGGCATACGTGCTTGACGGCTTTTTTACATTTTGTCTTTGTGTGCTTGTTTCTACAGAAGGATTCTTTTGCTTTAAAGTGTGGCAGATCTGCTCAAAGGCAGGAAACTGCTCAGAATGATGATCTACACTGTAGATAAACCTCATTTCGAAGAGAAGCAGAAAGCAACGTATTAAAAAAAAATCCACAGAAACAGATTTGAACTGATTTGCTGGTTGTTATTACTGTAATACCAAAATATTTTGCAGTATCTCTTCTCTCCTAGTAACACTACTTCTCCCTTGTCTCTGGGATATATGTTACATTGTTTTGCTTCTCAGCACTGATGTTGAGCATCTTTGTTTTCACAGCTGGATTTGAAACTGGTGTGCTGCATGTCTAACCTAGTACTTAATTTATTCACGTAGCATACTTCACATCTTCACCCTTCAGCCCAAAGCAGTTAAAATAGTTCATACATGCAAAAAAAGGCACCTGTGACAACAGGGCAAACACTAAATAAATGTTGTGCCAGAAAAGCTGTTCAAATTATGTAATTTTTTTTTATTTGCATTGTGTCAGAACCTGTTTCAGTGTAGATCTGTTCAAATGATAGATAAATTAGTTGTGAAGTAGTCTTGTAATCCTGTTCTGGTCTCTGTAGAACCTTAATCAAAACTATTTTGAAGACACTATTTAAAATACTGTAGATTTTTTTTTTTTTAACAAGCTTCTTGTAAAAACAAGATTGACCTTTCCACTGTAAGGGAGCAATATTCTTGTGCAGCAACAGTTACCCAGACAAATATGGCCAGGTAAATTAAGAATCTTTTGTCCCCAACACTAGAGTCAAAATTTAGCAACTGAAAAAAAGAAATATTATATTCATTCCAGAGAATACTGGCTTATTGCTGTCATTTGTCAATGGTTTTGATTTTAAATCCACAAGAGTAATTGAAAAAGAGGAGTTAATTTCTCAGAAAAAGAAAACATTGCATTTGGGATTTATATGCCTGCACCTTTCTCTGGTTGAAGTCTCCATGTGTCTACCAGCTGCTTTGGAAAATATACAAGTTTGTCTTAGAGCCTTACTTTTGTCATCTGTTTTTTTTTGTCTTATTTCTTTTTCTTACTCTGCCACTGCTTTCTTTTGTTTATGGATCTCTTAGATCCAACTCCGTTACAGATCCTTTACTTAGTCTCCTTTGCAAATGTTTTTTTCTGAAAGTATCAATTTTGTCTTTTCTTTCTCACATAAAAACTATTGGTTCTGTCTCTTCCATATTGCTCCCTTTATCACCATGTTGAACTTATAAGTTTGGGAACTTCTAGGTGAGAAGTTCCATTTTTCCTTTCCTATATAAATTTCTAGAGTCATGCAGGAATTAACTTCAAGAAAGTGTGTTGGGTTTTTTTGCTTGGTTTTGTGGCTTTTTTGTTTGTATTTGTTACAGTATGCATCTCAAAGTGTATATTTAGGATTAAACTAATTTTAATATAATTAAATTTTCTAGGGTCAAATTTGTTAGGATACGTCATAACTTGTCTAAATTCAGTCAGAAGGTCTTCACATTAAACCGTAGTCCACTGAGTCTGCCCCAAAGTATTACTAAACTTCATATCGTAGCAGGTTGAAGAAGAATAAATTATGGAAATGTGTGAGTCATTGAAGTTCAAAGGTCACTCCTAGGTTGCCAGATGTAGAACACAGTGTGAGGCAAGAATCTTGTAGTGCTTGGTTTTCTCTCTGTTGCCAGTATGGTTTGGAACGGTTTGCTCTGAAGTTTGTGGATATTACTATTGCTAAAGAAGCTATGCCTTAGGCTTCTATTCAGTAAGGATAGGAATTGCTGAATCGAGCATATCGAGTGCATTCAGAGTCAGCTATTTCTAGAGCCCTGAGAAGCTTGGTCTTCTGAGTTGCCCATAATTTTTATGCCAAGTCCAATTTGTTTTAATGTTAAAATTTAGAATGTTGTTATATGGCAGTAAAATAATTATCTTTTAAAATTATTGTAATCCCACAAATCTTTTCTGTTCGTGCTGATTAAAAAGAAATTTGGGAGTCCTTTGGTTGCTTTGACCCACAGATTCCTCTTAGGTGCTATTACAGCTGCTCATTTGCAGAGGCCATAATTCAGTTCAGCGTTCTGTTTAGTTGGGGTGCTATTGCTGCTGTCATCTCCCTCTGTTTCCTGTGCAAATTATCAGGAAAACTTGTGACATCTTGGAAAAACTGGCACCAGTCACAAATAAAAGAAGAGGTCTAGGGAACGCAAAGTGTTGTGGGTTTTTTCCAGATTTTTATGACTTAAATTAGGAAAAAATGGAAACGGTAGATAAACTGATGATCTAACACAGGTTTTGCTTACCTCTCTCAGACAACGGTTTGCCCTACAATGTTTGTTTTAACTGGTTTGCTGTTTATGTAAAATACCACAATGTGGCACTAACAGGATAATGTGAGTTTTCTTTTCAGGGGTAACTGCTCAGGTGACAGATCATTTAGAAAAAGATGAATGAGAGTGAGGTGCTTTTACTTACCGGAAGGGTGTTCATCTTCTGTTTATGCTGAAGAGATTAGTAAAGGATGATGCTGCCTTTCACGTCCAAGCTCGCAGTAAAGAGATCCCTGTGTTAAAGTTCCACATTTCAGTGATATATTATCTGTATAATGTTTTCACAAATGCTAATGACCCCATTACTTGTATTTACATTTCTTTTTTAATTGGAGGAAATTTTATTTGGTATTTCTCCTATGTTACAGTTTTCACTTTCAACAACTTACTAACAAGTGCAGTCTTGGCCAGAACGTGTTGAAAGTACCTTGCCTTCTTTAAAAATAGGCTGTACAAGGACAACGAAGTATCTAATTATCATTGCAGTTACAAACTGATTCTCAAATACAAAATATACCTCCCATATAATGACTGGGATCAAACTGTATTTTTAAATCATTAATCCTGTTTAACAGGAATGCATTTCTAAAAATAACCTGTGTTTTGGCATTACAGGAGGCAACGTATTCTTGTTTTAGTGGGCTTTTTTTTGGCTTTACTCTGCAATGGGAATCCTTTTTCTAGGTACTGTCTACCAGTATTAGTCTAACCTGAAAATTAGCATTACTATTAGAGTTTGTGGAAAGTTTGTCTTACAGGAAAACAGAGACAAATAAAAAGACAGTTAATGAAATAACTGCTTCAGGATCCACTAAAAATAACTAGCTAGATAGTAATAGCTTTGTGTTTTGACTTTTGTTAAAAGAGGGTGGTGGTTGTTCAAGATATAGTGGTTTCTCTTAGAATTAAAAATATGGACATCACACCTTGTTGTTCCCATTTATTTTGTTTTGTTTTTCCCCTCTCCCTGGTTGCATATTAGCTCTTGCTTCAACTGCCGTCATATTTTTAAGCCAAGGTCTTTATGTTTCTTCTTATTTACTGTTTGTAGGTATAATTTCTGCTGCAATGATGGTCCAGGTCAGAGATTAATACTATCAGTAGCCAAAGTAATAGGCTCCAGATTCCTGCAGATACTTTTAAATTATTCTATAGTGTAGTAATGTTCCATTTGTTTTCCCTCATTAACGTGTCTTGAGTCTGTCCTTGGCTTATTTGCCATTTGTTTTTGACATCTCAAAGGAATTGTTTCCACATGGAAGGGATTCTGCATTAAAGATGCTATTCCTCTCCTCTGTTTATTGTCTTCTCCTTCAAGCAATTAGTCTGTGAAGTGTGGAAAGTAAACATACCTAATCATATTCTGGCCATCTAAAGCTGACCAGTTGCTCCTTCGCTGTGTAAGCTATAAAAATAAATCGTGGCTTCACAAGTACTCTTTGAAATGAGTCAGGAATAGTTTGATACCAGTGGTTGAACTCCGTCTGCAAGATGAAGGGGAGGAAATATATGTTCTTATAACGTTGACATATTGGTTTGTTTTTGTTTTAGTCTGAAAGACAAATTTTTTTAAAGCCAAAAAATTTGTGGGGTTCAGAAATCAAATGCTTTCTGAGCTGATGTGAAATACGTTAACAAATCCTCCTGGGTTAATGGACTTGTCAAGTTGTATGTGCACCATTTAAACAGATAATTCCGTTCAGTGTATTTGTCCTGGGCTGCAGCAGTATGCGAGCCTCTGAAGCCTCTGAGGAACTGGCCTGGCTGCCAGGGCTAGGGGTTTTTGGAAGTCATAGTATGCTTTACTGGGCTGTAGGTCTTAGGTCCGCAGGATGATTTCTAGAGAAAGAAGAGACTGTTCCCTGGCTGTGAGGCCTTCTCATCCAGCAGCAGCGAAGGCGAGCGGCTCCACAGGGAAGGAAGCGGGGCCAAGCACAGCGGCAGGCAGTGGAGGCCGTGGCTGTGAGGCCTTCTCGTCCAGTAGCAGCGAAGGTGAGCAGCTCCTCAGGGAAGGGAAGCGGGGCCAAGCGGGGCGGCAGGCTGTGGCG